ACACACACACTATATATACACACACACACACACACACACTATACACACACAGACACAATACACACTATATATACACACACACACACTATATACACACAGACACACACTATATACACACAGACACACACTATATACACACAGACACACACTATATACACACACACACGCACTATATACACACACACACGCACTATATACACACACAGACACACACTATATACACACAGACACACACTATATACACACACACACACACACTAAAACTGAAGCTGAAATAATGAAAAACTATAAAATACATATATAAATAAATATATATAGATATATTTAAAAAACAAACAAAAAAAAAACAAGTAAAACTAATAGAGATGACAAAAACACACACCACTGGAACAATAAAATTATTTTTTAAATAAAAACATGAACATAAAAATGAAGAATATGCTAGTATATAAACTGATGATAAGAGCGTACGGCGACGTCCAGCAGCAGCTCTCCTCGCGTCCCGTGGAGGATCTTCACCAGGTTCCCGATGCTCTTCTCCCAGATGTAGAGCGCATGCTGCCGCGCCGATCCTGCCACGATATACTCACCGTCACCGGAGAAACAGCAGCGCTTCCACGGAGTCCTGCGCAGAGACACGCGTCACACACACACACACACACTATATATATACACACACACACACACACTATATACACACACTATATATATATACAAACACACACACACACACTATATACACACACAACCAAGGCTGCATTTATGTGATCAAAAATGCAGTAAAAACAGTAATATTGTGAAATATTACAATTTAAAATAACTGTTTTCTTTTTGAATATATTTTAAAGCTGAATTTTCAGCATCATTACTCCAGGCTTCAGTGGCACATGATCCTTCAGAAATCATTCTAATACGCTGATTTGCTGCTCAAGAAACATTTCAGTTATTATCAATGAATGTGTTATGGGTTTGTTCAAGTCACCAACCCTAACTATGAGTAAAAGTTACAGTTACAGCCATGCGATTGCGAAAGTTGCATTGTTAATTCATTATTCATGTCACGTCTGGTGCTTCTGTGGGTGGAGTGTCTGACTCGGAGTCTGTCTCTGCACTGCTCTGTTCTGCCATTTACACTCATTTGTCTTCGAGCCAAACTATACACACACACACACACACAATACACACTATATATACACACACACACTATATATACACACACACACACTATATATACACACACACACACACTATATATACACACACACACACACACTATATATATATACACACACACACACACACACACACTATATATACACACACACACACACACTACCACACTATATATACACACACACTATACACACACACTATATATATACACACACACACACTATATATACACACACACACACACACTCACTATATATACACACACACACACACACACTATATACACACACACACACA